TGTCGGTTCTGTCAGAACCTCCTTCATCATCTACTTCACCTACAGACAAGTTTAATTATTTTTTTGCTTTTTGCTGCAGAGCAGTAGGTTCAACTGTCCGTCAGTTTCTAATGTATGGAAATCTCTTTATTGTCCCACTGTGGGGAAATTCACTCAGCATTTAACCCCTCCCCTTGGGGAGCAGTGGGGGGTTCAGGGACCCATAGCGGAGGGTGTGGTACTTGCAACATCTTCAGAGCACTGCTCTAACCAGCGAGGCCAACACTCCCCCCCACTGAGGTTTTCCTACTCCTCCTGATTCAGGCGACTGAGCTCAGGTTCATTTCTGACCTCTCTGAGCCACCGTAGGTTTGATGATTACTGCATTCTCTGATGTGACTAGAGCTCTTTAATTCTCAGATTAGCTTCTCAGAGTCAGCATGTTGGACAGGAAGCGAACCAACCAGACCAGCAGAAACCTTCATGGTTCACCTTGATGTGTTTGACGCCGCAGCTCACCAGCCGGTTCTGTTGAAACGGGTCCCAGCAGATGTCAAAGATCTGCAGAGATTAGGAAGCTGTTAGTTGGTCTGATCAGAGTGCAGAACGAATGGAAAGAGAAAGAGAGCGTCCTACCCGGTCTGAGTGTCCGGTGGCCGTGGCCAGGATCCTCCCTTTCTTCCACTCCCAGATACAAACCGTGTTCTTTGCGTCCAAACCGACCGAAGCCAACCTCTGAGAAGAAACAGGAAATATTTCCTCTGAGAAAGAAAACAACCCACAGGCAGAAAGAAACTAGCTGCCAGTTTCTGTGTTCAGGTTCAGAGGGAGGAAACAGGACTCTGATGATGATGAGGAGAGATTCTCCTCCTCCTCCTCCTGAGAGGGAGAGTTGATCTCAGCTTTCCATCAGATCTAGATCAGAGCTACAGCTGGTTCCTCTGGTTCTGGTTCAGGAGAACATTGTCCTCAAGAGGGCACCCAAAAGTTTGGTTTAGGCTCTAATCTAAACCTAAACTTAATTCATACCTTATAGTCCTAAACCCAAGGATAGTGAAAAAAGGGAAGCAAAAGTTCAGATGATGAGAGAGGAAAACTGGTCCTCACTCTGGTACCAAAACAGGAATCTTAATAATGAATCATACAGATAAAACTTAACTTTGATTTATTATTAAGTGGATTGTTGGTCAGCACCAAGCCCTGTCGGTGTATCACAGCTAGGCCACCCCCATGACCCCTGCTGCGAGCTCTCTCCAGGTAGCTGTACCCGGAGGGGGGGTAGACTTCGTTAAGTGCTGAATAGACCCCTGGCTGTAGCCATGTTTCTGTGAGACACATGACGTCTAATCGCTTGTCCATTATATGGTCATGTAGGAAGTTTCTTTTCAGCTGTTATGTACGGTGGCCCTGAAGTGCAAACTGCAACTACAAATCTAAAAGCGCAACTACATTAAGGAAATCGCAACTACATAAAGCAAAGCGCAACTACATTAAGGAAATTACAACTACATAAAGCAAAGCGCAACTACATTAGGGAAATCGCAACTACATAAAGCAAAGCGCAACTACATTAAGGAAATCGCAACTACATAAAGCAAAGCGCAACTACATTAAGGAAATCACAACTACATAAAGCAAAGCACAACTAAATTAAGGAAATCACAACTACATAAAGC